TATTTCATCACTGATGACTTTTCTGATTCTCTTAGTAGTACTAATGCATTAATTCTTTGAAATTTTTTTATAAAGTAGAACTTTGCCCTTGTTAACTATTTGGTTATCAACAGATACATTTTTTATAACAAGAAAGTCAGAATAAGTGTTTTCCCTTTATCAATTTTCAGAGGCTAAATCGGTGACCTAGCACCTCTAGCACCTCTAAAGGTATCCAACAAGGCTTTTTGTTGCTGCTGTTTAAAGTGTAATTATGAGCTCCTGGATTACATCATGCAGTTGATGTGTTGCAATCGTGGCTGTTATTAAAATTGTTTTCAAGGAGCTTCATTGAGGTATAATACACACAATAAATGTCACATACTTAAAGTATATAATTTGAGAAATTTGACATATGTGTATACCCATGAAACCATCATCACACTGAAGATAATGGATGTCACCATTTACCCCCCCAAAGCTTCCTTATACCTCCCCTCCCCCACCCCACAACCAGCCAGCTGTTGTCACTCCAGACTAATTTGCGTCTTCCAGAATTTTATGTAGATAGGCTCATACCGTATGTGCTGTAGTTTGCTTTCTATTCAACAGTTATTTTGAGAATCGCCCATATTGTTGCATGTAACAATGTGCATTGTTTTTTATTCTGAATACTATTCCATCTTGTCGGTAGGCCATCCTTTATCCATTTGCCTGCTGATTTGGTTTGTTTCCATCTTTTGGCCATTATAAATATAGCTACTATGACTATTCAAACATACCTGCCTTTCTATGGGCATAAACTTTCATCTCTGAGGGTGGCTGGATCATATGGTAGATGTATGTTGTGGTTTGGGTATGGTTTGTCCCCATGAAATCTCATGTGGTTTGATTCCTCCATGTGCTGGTGTTAGGAGGTGGGTCCTTTGGCAGGTGATTAGCATGGCAGGGTGGGGCACTTTCATGAGTGGATTAATGCTTTTCTCTGAAGACTGGGTCAGCTCTTTCCAGACTACATTAAGTCTTGAAGCAGTGAGTTGGGTCTCCTGTGAATGAGTTAGTCTGGAGGGATTAACTCTTTTCTTTATAAACTTCCTAGCTTCTGTTATTTTGTTATAGCAATGGAAAGCAGACTACAGTGGTTTATGTTTGACTTTTTATGAAATTGCCAAACTTCCAAAATGGCTTCTCTACTTTACATTCTTGTCAGTGGTATATGTGAGTTCCCCCTTGTTACCAACACTTGATATGGTCAGTCTTTATAATTTCAGTCATTCTAACAGGTGTAGAGTTGTGTCTCATTGTGGTATTAATTGGAATTTCCCCCAGGGACTTTGATATTTGCCCTCCGTAAATCTCAGATGAAATGTCTGTTCAAATCTTTGGCTCATTTTTTAAAGTGGAATTTTTTTCTTATTATTGAATTTTAAGAGTTCTTTAAACTGTATTTAAATCCTTTATCAGACATGTGATACACATATATATTTCTCCAGTCTGTGGCTTATCTTTTTATTCTTTTAACAGTGGCGTTCAAAGAGCAGAAGTTTTTAGTTTTTGATGAAGCCTTACTCATCAAGTTTTCCTTTTAGGAATTATATTTTGTGGTAGCTCATATAAAAACTCTCTGCCTAACCTCAAATCACAAAAATTTTCTCCTCTTTTCCTCTAGAAGGATTTGATAGATCTTGCAGTCAGATCCAACTTTGTTCTTTTAAAAACTTGCTCTGCCCATTCTAAGTCCTTTGTATTTCCATGTGACAAGAACCAGCTTTCCAATTTCTACAAAAATGCCTGTGGTGATTTTGATTTGGAGTTAAGTTGAACCCGTAAGGCAATATGGGGGAAAATCTCATCTTACCAATATTGAGTCTTGTGACTTACTGTGTGTTTCTCCATTTATTTATGTCTTCTTTTATTTTCTTGAGTGATATTTTCTAGTTTTCAGTACATGGGTCATACACTTCTTTTGTCAAATTTAACCCTAAATATTTAACTTCTTACATATCGCCTAAGAATCATAGATGTAACCATTTATATACATGTTCAGTTTTACCATCTATGTTTTTCTTTTTGAAGATATAATCAAGAGTATAAATTCATTGTTATCACTACTCCCCACCCCTCCACACAGAAGCACACACATAAAATTTAACAGAACACAGTATTTGCCCTTTGTCTCTCTCCTTTTACTCTGTCCCAGAGAGTCCCCATGCCAGTGTATAGGACCTTGCTCATTCCCCTGAGCAGCTACATCATCCTCCGCTTTCTGGATGATCTAAGTATACGCACTGGTCCCCTCTGCCCGCATGTTTGCATAGTCTTCAGGAATTTGCTATTACAGCTGGTGCTATGGTTAATAGCCTTATGCAGACATCATTTTCTCTTTTCACCTGGAATTTACTGGGTGTCATTAACAGGCCAGGTCCTGTATGACCCACACAAGATTGAGGGACGAATCTGACCTAGCCCAGCCTAACTGGTGTGCAAGACCCTGTAGCTGTCTCCCAGAGCTGGGCCAGGAGTTTATCCACACAGCCCAGGGAGTTGGGGGAAGCCCGGCTTGAGATGGAGATTGTGGTTTGTCTGGGCTCCTGGGAGCCCAGCAGTCAGTCTTGCCTCTCTTCCTCTTTGGCTAGACTTGGTCTTTGTGGGAATGAGGGGGAGGGGAAAGGCCAGTACTCTGTGGTCAGAGAGAATATTCTGGGGTGGGAGAGGTCACGTGTGGGATGATAGAGCAGATATGGAGCCTGCAGAGCTGAGAGGCCATGCTGAGGATAGAGACCACCATGTGGGGGCCAGGGTTTGGGGAGAGAGCCACAAGGATGGGCCGGGAGGAAAGAAATACAGTAAGTCCCTGACTTACGAGGGAGTTCCATCCCAGGAGCACATTGGTAAGTTGAATTGGATTTTTATTAGGCTTTACATTGTATATTTGTATCAAAGGTGTGTAAAATGAAACACATACAAAATAATGTACATAAACTCATTTTACTTTTACAGTTACCTTAAAATGGTACAGGGTTAGGGATAAGGTGAGCTACTTCCACAATTTGTTCTCATCTACGAATGTTTGTAATGTGAGATCGATTCATATCTGTGAAAGTTCCCAACTCGGATGTTCGTAAGTCAGGGACTTACTGTATTATATATTTATATCCTCCCCGTCACACATTCGTATGTACCAGAGGTCATCTCCTAACCTTCCCACAGCTCCAAGCCTTCAGTCCTCCACCTCCCAACCCGTGACTCTTAGGCAGGTGACCCTGTTAGAAACAACTGTCCTACAGCCAGACTATGTGAGTTCAGGTCTTGGCCCTGTGTCTTGGGCAAATAATTGGGAAGAATGATGTTATCTGCAGATGGAGTTTTAAAGTGATAACAAGGAGTGGGGGATTTAGCTCAATGGTGCTCTGTCTGCCAAGTGCAAGGTCCTGAGTTCGATCCCTGGTACAATGAAAGAAAGAGAGAAGGAAGGAAGGAGAAGGGAAGAGAAGGGAAGGGGAGAGGGGAGGGAGGGAAGGAAGGAGGGAGGGAGGGAGGGAGGGAGAGATAACAAGATAACAAGTGTAAAGTCTAAGTTCAAGCACTGGTGCACAGTAAGCCTTCACAATGGGAGTAGCAGCCATCAAAGATGTGATTGCTGTTATTGTTCCTCTCTTAAACCTCCTCCATCCCAGATGGAGACAGATGTTTATTCCATTTGACAGAGGGGAGGGCGGCCTAAGCACATATTAGCAGTTTGAATGTCAAGGTCAGTTTTCTGGTGGGAGGTGGGGTGAGAATGATTTTAGGACTCACTCACTGGAGTGTGCTCATTTACCTCTTGGCCCCAAACACACAGACATGCACACATGTGTACACAGCCAAGTGCGTACAAGCACAATCCCCATGCTGGTGATACTTGGTAAGGTGGAGGGAATCAGAGAACAAATTAACAACTTTTTTACCTAACTCCCTGGCCCTCAGCATGGGGGGCTCTGCCAGGCTGGTGGGCAGGGCCAACCAGGCCAAAGCTCCAACAAAGAGCCTTGATGGGTATTTTTGGAGTGAATGACCCACCACTTCCAATGACTTGCTGCTAAATGGCATCTAATTTCATTAAGCCTTGGAAACAGTGACATCACAAGCTCCTGCCCTGTAGCCACCCACATACAGAGAGCCACAGAGTGATCCGAGATTCATCTGCAAGAGCAAGTCCTGAGCAAAAATGTTAAAATAGCAAAGCTGAGACATTCTGCTATGAAAAGAAATTACAGATGAAACTTGTTAGTCAGACATTTCCAGTGGCAGTTTCCTTGCTTGGGAGCAGGGGAAGACACGTGTGTTTATTTTGGGCCAGGTTACGTGACCATTCTTCCCTCTGTCGGCTAGAGGTGGCCTGTAAAGTGCATTTCTGTTCTGTAAGTTGGATTCTTATTGGTGTCTAGTTATGATGTTCTCACAGGGCTGTTTTATCCTACAGTATGATGCTCAGAGGCATGAATTTGCCACCTTTCTGCGTGAAATAATGACGTTTGTACTTAACGCACCAGCACTGTAAGTCACGAAGTCATCCAGGTGAACCCTGTCTTTTTCCTATGGCTTCCTTCACCCAGTTTTTTCCATGTAAGCTCTGCCTTCTCAGGCACAGAGTAAAAAAGGACAGGGAAGCACTGCTTCACTCCAGGTTCTTAGTGTTCGTGGGGGCCATCAAGGTTGTGACTGTGACTTCACCCAGCAAAAGCAGAGCAACCACTGGCCTCTTGGAGAGAGTATAGGATGAACAGGGGGATGAGCTTACTCGTGGAGTTTTATTCCACTTACACTTTCTCCACTTCAGTGCTGGGGACATGGGGCTGCGCATGCTTCTTTGTGGAGGTCTGTCTTGGGCACTGGAAGCTGCTCAGCAGCATCCCTGGCTCCCCCTGCAGGATGCTGACAACATCCCCCAGCCCCAGCTGGGATGACCACAATGTCTCTAGACATTGCCACCTGTCCCCTGGGGGAATAATTGTTCCTCTTTGAGAACCACTGGCATATACCTTTTCAAGGAATTGAGAGGTATGAGGAATTCGTAGGTTTTTATTGACTTGTTTTTATTTTAAATACTTTTAAATTTTGATTTGTAATAAGACAGGGTCTTGCTATGTTGCCCAGGCTGACATTGAACTCCTGAGGTCCGGAACTTCTCCCTTGGCTTCCCAAGTAGCTGGGACTGCTACCGGCACATGCCACCATGGGGGCTGTTTTAAATACTCTGGAGTTTAATAAACCTTGAACTGGTCAATTCACTCTTCTCGAGGCTTCTGTTTTCTCGTCTGTAAGATGAATGGGGCGGGGCTGTGTGTGTGGAGATGACACAGTATTCTCAGAGAGGCTGCTAGTCCTGGTAGTAGAGAGAGTTAAGGGCAGGAGGCCCCATGAAGTCTCTGTTGGGATCCTTTCCCTGCAGGTGATGAAGGTCTTTCCCACCTGGCTCCATTTCCTACTCCAGTTCTCTCTACTCCTGGAGTCCAGGCTAATCTTTCTGAAATCCAATTGATTGTTCTCTCACTTTAATTTAAGCTCATTTTAAGTGAAAATTTGTAAATGCCCACCAAAGTAGAGAGAACAGTACTATATAAGGAACTACTGCAAGCATATTATCCAGCTTCACTGCTGTCCATTTCATCTTCCTCCCATTTTGGGGGGAGGGGATGGTTTGAGACAGGGTCTTTCTATGTTGTTCAGGCTGGCCTTGAATTCACTATGGAGCCCAGGCTGGCACTGAACTTGCAGGGATCTCCTGCCTCAGCCTCCCAAGTGCTAGGATTATAGGCGTGCACCACTACTTCTCACTTTGAAGCCCAGCCTGTGGGCCTCATCCTTGTGCCAATCCATTCATTCACTCAATTCCCCCAAGAGCTTGGGCTGGGCAAGGCTGAGCAGAGAGAAGGGCTCAAGGGGAAAGGCCTAGGACCTGCCCTGGAGAGACTCACAGGCTGCCGGAAGGCAGGGAGAGGACATTTTATTTTATGACAGGAAGAATCTGCCCTTCAGCTTTCTCTGTTTGAAGCCAAGCAATTCTAGTTCTTCAGCCCTAAAATGACCCTAACACCTACTAGGTCTGCACTCAACATCCCCTTTCCCTCCCTCATTCTCTTTCCCCTTTCTTCCACATTCTCTTGACAGTGAGGTGGCCACGGCTGATCACATCACCACAGCGAGGGACTGACTAATGTGAGCGAGAGAGGATGGCCACCTCACTTCCTAAACTGTCACATGGTGACAGTTAAATGGTGGCCCAATTTCTCAGTGACATTCACTACTGACTCACTTGACTTGTGGTCAGCTCTGAAATCAGGGTCCTTTTCAGCTCTCCTGCCCTAAGACTGCTCACCAGCTTGGGTCTATGGCACTGGAAAGCGACATTTTTACTGTATTCTGTGGGTACTAATATCCTTTCCAAGGAGCCAAAAGCTTGGTTAGATTGGCAGCTTCATGAGGGCAGGAGCTATGCTTGTGTTGATTAAATCCATTTCCCACCCTCTAGAACACTATCTGATACAATAGATGCTTTGTAAATACTTTTGAATTGAATGAATGAATTTTGAACTGGTCCCTGTTTTCCAAGAGATGCCCATCTCCTTCTGGGCAGCATCCTTGGAAAAGCAAATGACCAAAACCTTAATACCTTAATGTAGGTTTTCAATAAGTGAGTTCTAGACTGATTCCAAGTATGGGCCAGTAGAAAGACTCAGAGCCCTAATTCTGCTACTCACTGCCTTGGTAACTGAGCAAGTTGCTTCCATTTGAGCCTGTCTTTTCCCTAGAAATATGGACCATCAGTACCTACCAGGGTTATTGTGAGAATGAAGTGCAAATAAATATGTGACAAAGTACCCACCCTGGCCTGAAAGTGATCATGGCTTAGTATCGCTTATTCTTTCCCAAATACTCACTGCCTTTGGTTTCCGCCTGCACTTTGCCTCAGACCTCACTGTCTCTCTTCCAGCTTTATTCACTCATCTTGGTCACCACATCCCGGCCCCAACAAAGACACTGCCCTCAGCCTGACGCCCAGCACACTCAACAGGGACAAGGCCTGTGTGAAAAAATTATTAATTTTTTTAAAATTTCCATTCGATTTTTTAAAAGTATCTTTAACTTTTTGTTTTGAAATAATTTCAGGTTTGCCCCCAAAATTACAAAACTAGCACAGTTTCTATATCCCCTTTACATAAGCTAACATCTTACATAATCACAGCACCATTATCAAAACCAGGAAAATAGCATTATGCAGGACTGTTGGCCAATTTACAGGTCTTACTCAAATGTCATGAGATGTCTCACTGATGGCCTTTTTCTGAGCCAGGATCCCACATCAGATGTAGTTGTCATGTCTCCTTAGTCTCCTGTAATCCTTGGCAGTTCCTCTGTCTTTATTAGTTCTTTATACTCTTAACACTTTTGACAAATGCTGGCCAGTTACCAGTTTGGATGTTTGGTGTTTTCCTTGTCATGAGACTGGAGCTGTCCATTTAGGGCAAGGCCCCACAGAAGCAATGCTCCCTCTTTAGTGTGGCACATAGGAGGTAACTGATGCCACTGTGTCTCCTTCCTGGTGATGTTCACACCCTTGCTTAGTCAACATGATGTCTTCCTGGTTTCTCCACTGTACAATTGCACCTTCTTCTTTGTAATTAATGAGAATCTTACAGGGAGATAATATCCTGTTCCTCCTCAAACTTTGGCCTTATCCATTTCTTTCTCTCTATACACGTGTGCAGATTCATGGCTTCCTGTTTTATCTAGTGAGTTATCATTATGACTGTCATTATTCATTGTGATGCTCACACTGTCTTTTCTCTGGTCAGCAGTAGTCCCCTCAAGCTGGCCTTTTGCCTCATTGATTTGTCCTCTTCTTTCTTTGGACACTTTCCTGCTTTCTGACCTAAGGTGAAGCTCTGGGCTCATCTTGCATGTTCCCTTCCCAGCTCTGGAACCAGCCACTTCTGCAAGGCACTCTGCGTCCTTTGAATGGAGAATGATATTTAGAAGTTGAGGTTTGGCTGCTGGCTCTCCTCATTGCTGGCAAGCCGTTGGGGTTCCTGGACCCACTTTAGGAAAAGAGCTAGGGAACGTATGTACAGATAACATGTATACACATGCATCTATTTCTATATTTGTCTGTATTTTGAAAATCATGAATTCACACCAGTACCTCCATTTCCTCTCTATCACCACATGTTTGTAGCTCCTTCCTATGGCAAGGAGGCACCTGAACCCCATTAGCCTCAATATATGTCAATATTTGATCAGTCCCCTCTGCCACCCTTCTTTCCCCTTTCTGCTCACCCTGATACTCTGCCCCAGGAGAACGCCCCCTCAACCTGAGCACCCTCTGGCTTCTACCAAAACATACAATTTTTCATTAGTAGTTTCCATTTATTTATTTATTTATTTATTTTGGTATCAGGGATTGAACTCGGGACCTTGAGCTTGCAAGGCAGGTGGTGGCACCACTGAGCTAAATCCCTGGCCCTTGTATATATTTTTTTAAATGGGAGGTCCAGTTTTGGTTTGTGGGCCTCTCCTGGTGATTTGTACCAGAAAGCTGAATCATTAGCTACCTGGGGTGGCTCGAGCTCCAGGGCACTGCTAGAAGGAACCTTTCAGACTCTCTGTGGACATCCTTGTTTTATGTTCAGGGAAACTGAGTTCCAGTCAGGGACAGGAGTTTTCTGAATGTAGATAATCAAGTTGGGCCAGAGGGAGGACAGGGGACCCTGCCACAACCCTGCCTGTTGCTTGTTTTTCCAGTCTAGACCCCATATGTCCTCTCCCCTGGCCTAACGTGTCCTTCCCCAGACATGAGACAGACTATGTCCTTCAGCTCTGCCTTCTCAGCCCAGAGGGTCACAAGCTGGGTCCCTGGGCCTCGTTTGATCTACAGACTTGTCTTATTTGTCATGCACTGTATTGGCCCAAGATTTAAGAATTGGAAGCTTCCATGTCAATTTAAAAATTTTTGGCTTCACTTGGCAGATCAGAACATCTGGCCATGCTGACCCCATACCTCCACCTGGTTCCTCTGCAGATGCTCCTCAACTTACTATGAGGCTACACCCCAATAAATACATTGTAAGTCAAAAATGTATTTACTACCACTAACTTACCAGCCTTCATAGCTTAGCCCAGCCTGCCTTAAACATGTTCACTACATGTACATTGGCTTACAGTTGGGCAAGAGCGTCTAACACAGAGCCTATTTTATAATGAAGTGTTAACTCTCTGCTGAGGTTTACTGAACACAGCACATTGGAGTGTAAGTCAGTTGCTGTCCTGATCCTGTGGCTGACTGGGAGCCTCGGCTTGCTGTCAGTATTCAGCATGGAGAGAAAGAATTGTACTCAGTATTTCTAGCCTGGGAAAAGATCCAAATTCAAAAGTCAGAATGCGGTTTCCCCTGAATGCATATTACCTGTACACCATGGTCAAATCAAAATCACTATCAAACTATCACAAGATAGGGGGCTGTCTGTATAGTGCTGCAACTCAGCCACAGCAGGCCCCTTTCCTATTTTCTCCCCATCCCCAACTCTCATTTTGCTGACCTTGGACAGCCCCGAAGTGTGTTATCTACCCGGTCCCTGCTGGCACTGGCCTGGGAATCGCCAGCCACGGCCTGGCCCTCCGGACCCACTCCGGCTATGCACATCTCTGGCCTCCTGACTCATTCCCCTCCCTGCCCACATGGAGTAAATGCAGCGCTCTGGGCTCTGGCCCACTCTTAGTCTTGACCTTTCCTGTCCCCCTCCCGGGACTACTCTCCTTCCATCCACCCTCAACCTCCTCCTGCTCTACTATTCAGACGTCCCCTCTTACAGGAAGCCTCACAGAGTCTGAGCAGAACAGAGGTGGGGAGTAGGGGTCTGGTCCCCCAGTGTTGGCCACACCATTCTCTTTGTTTTGTTTCTTTGTCTCTGCTGCTAAGCTACAGGTTCACAGGGCCAAAAGCCAATTTTTATCCCTGTGTCCCTAGTACCTTTGAAAGGCTCTGCACATAGTAGATGCTTTGCAAATGTTAGTCAAGTGAGGATTAATAAAAACGCCAGCAAATTCTCACTGAGTACTTCCTGGATGCCAGGCACTGTTGTCATTTGTTTACATGAATTCAGTTATTTGACCCTCATTGCTGTGCTGTGGGATATTTACTGTTGCCCCTGTTTCATGGACAAAGTAACTGAAGCACACAGTGCTGAAGTAGCACGCCCAGCGTTACGCAGTGGTGGAGTCCTGGTTGAATTCCAGCAGTTTGACTCCATAGCCCATGATGGGACCTCTAATAGACCTTTCAAGGTTAAAGGGCTCCACATTTCCAAGATAAGGGAGTTGAGTAAGTATGGAGAGTTGTGTCACATAGATCTCCTCTCTCCCTGCCACACCCCCAGCCCTAATTTCTGGTCCCTTTAGTTAGGAGCCCAAGCACAGAGCAGACAGCAGAGAAAGTGATACCTTGAACCTGGCAGCCCACAGGAATTTTTTCTCCCCTGAGGTCTTAAGAAACGAAGCATGTTTCCCATGTAATTAGCACCCAGAGTCAAGTATCAGCCCTTATGCAAGATTGCCAGGCCATTGCATTGGGCTTAGCAGAGTGTATTTTGTTTGCCAATTACCAGAGGAGTCACATGCCAGCTTGTCACCAGCCACTCCACTGAGTCAAGCTCCACCCAAGAGCCTGGGAATGCTCTGTGGACTAAGGCTTTGTTAATAAATCTCTGCGGTGTGAGAACTGTCTGCTGCTCACATTTGAGGGACAGGAAGGGAGCCAAGCATGTGAGCACCTCCCCTGTGAACTTGGCATCTAATCCTCTGCAGACACATTTCCTCTTCTCATTAGCCTTGCAGGGTCACGTAGTTATGGCTCCACTTTTGCAGATGAGGAAACTGAGGCCCTGGGAAGAGAAGTCCTTTGCAGCCTGCAGTCTGATCCAGGCCTGCACTGTTCAATAGCCAGTGGTAAGATGGGCTCAGAACTGAACCCACATCTATGTGATTCTGAAGCCCTGGCTTTTCTCAACACATCCCTCAGTTGGGCTCAGGTGGGACCCACAGGAAAGCAAGGTCGTGAGGTAACCATGGAGGAAAAGCACAGTGAGGAGGCAGCACTGTCATGAGTTGACACCAAGACTGTGGGCTCCAGGCTGGATTTTATGCTAATCTCCTGCTATAAAGTAAAGTTAAGAAGAATCTCCAAGGAGCAGACAGCAGGACCAGAGCCAGCAGGAGGGTGGGTGGGGGTGGAAACGTGAGGAGGAGGTGGTGGAGGCAGGAAAGGGAAAAGGGCGGAGAGGTGATGCAGAGCAGGAATGCAGCACCAGCACCATCAAACTGAAGAGAGCCCAAGCCTTTCCCTATTTTAGTGTACACGTCACCCGACACTCAGGTGTTCTGTTCATTCTGCAGTTATTGATCCAGTGTCTACAGCATACCAGGCCCATGCTGGGGTTTGGAGACACGGCTGGGGACAAAACCTAATAAGGCCCCTGCCCTTGGGGAGGATACATTTTGATGGGGGAAGACCCATCAAAAAATGTAAACAGGGCCAGGGATTTAACTCAGTGGTTCCCTCGCCTGCTTTGAAAGCACAAGGTCCTGAGTTCAATCCCCCATACCAAAAAAAAAAAAAAAAAAAGAAATGTAAACAGATGAGTGGGCAAGGTCACCTGTAATGGCCCTGGGTAATGTGTCACACAGAAGATATGATGAAGAGATGCATGGAAGGACAGTGGAGGGGTGAGGGCTGCAGAAGGTGGGCTCTCCTGAGGCCTGGGGCAGGAGGGCGGGACTGGTCTGAAGCAGTGGAAGGAACTGTGGCTCTCTGACCCTCTTGCCCTGCAGCCACCCCACCTCCCACTGCCTTGAGACCCATCTGTGCATATGCCCTCCTCACTGCTGTTCTATTTCTACTCTGCAGGTTTGATATCTACAGGAAGGTGCCCAAGGACCTTACGCAGCCAACGTACACTGGGGCCATTAGTGAGTAGCTGCCCTCCGACCCCTGCCCCCACCCCTGCCTGTGCCCCTGGGTACTCATACCGTCTGCACAGAACTTCTGGATCAGGGAAGAAGGAAGGAAAAGCAGAAGGGAACTTCATGCCAGGTCCTTCACCTATTACCACATTGAGTTTCTGTTCTTACTGTATCCCTGCAAGGAATAATCATCACCTATTTCTAAAAGGATAAAAAGAAATTATTAAGACAGGTTGGGGATTGCTGATCTGAAAATCTGAAATCTAAAAATCTCTAAAATCCAAAACTTTTTTCTTGCAGTGCTGGAAATTGAACCCAGGCCCTCATGTGTTCTAGGCAAACACTCTACCACTGAGCTACATTCCCAGCCCCCAGAGGCAAAATTTTTTGAACACCAGCACGATGCTGGATGTGGAATATCCATACCTAGCCTTATGTGACAGGTGGCAGTCAAAACATAGGACCACTAAAAATATTGTATGAAATTACCTTCGGAGTATGTGTATAAGGTGTATCTAAAACATAAATTAGTTTTGTGTTTAGACTTGGGTCCCATCCCCAAGGCCTCTCATTACATATATGCAACTATTCCAAAGTCTGAAAAAATACAACACCCACAATGTTTCGGATCCAAAGCATTCTGGATGAGGGATATTGTACCTGTAGGGCCACCTTGGGAGAGGAAACTGAGATTGAGGGGTCTGTAGATTTACTTTTATCTTCATATGACTTGTATGTTTT